GATAGACAGACAGGCAGACAATGTATCGGTTAGTTTTAGCTGCAGAGCAGACTACCTCAAAACTTAGTGGTCAGCTGGTACGATAGCGGCTGGGACTGGGCAGTTTAGGAGTCCTCGGCTAAGATAATCTGTTGAGTAGGGCTTCTGTCCACGTGATTCTTGCAGGCTCCCTCAGGTTTATTTATATGGTATTAGGACACACAAGCACTTTTTAAGTCCTAGCTTGCGGTACATCTGCTCTTAGTACATTGTCTTAGTCCTAAACGGTGAGGATACCAAGGACTCTGGGAGGAAGTTAGTGTAGCAATTTTTCAAACATCCTATCTGAGATACTAATTATAATAGTAATGCAGCTTTGTTTATTGAGAGTTATCATCAGTCTCCAAAATCAGACTGAGAACAGGTGCTGTAATTTAATTACAGTGATACTAAGGAAATATTGGTCACCACAGGAGTGCTTTCTGCTCCGTATAAATGAAATCCATCAGTGAAGCTCTCTGACGTACAAAGAAGGAATCATTCATTGTGCTGTAGGCAGCTAATTTCCTGAATCACTAAATAGAGGGATCAAAAATACAACTATTTAGTACGTGCTGTTTCTTGCCAGTTAAGGTGGCTTCCCCTACCAGTTGATTTAGTCATTTCTTCAGCATTAGTTATATAGACATTTTTATTACTAGCATCTCTAGTTGACATCTTTATTATAATTTGGGCTAAGGAAAATTTGTTCACTTCTGTCTTGTTTAAAAAAAGCCAAAAAAAAACCCCAAAACACCATTAACAGCAACAAAAAGAAACTCAGTCAGAGATAGTCTTGTCATAAGTATTTGTTGAGTCCTAATAACTATTTTTCAGTTTGGTATCAGAGGCTATCCAGTGTCATAATCCCTCTGACGGTAAGAACTTCTTTCCAGTGGTTATCAGTAACTAAGCATAAATGTTTCTATAAGCTCCTGCCAAATCATAGGATCATGGAATTTTCAAAGCTGTAAAGGGACATTACAGTAATGGTTCAGTGGCCTTTTTAATAGATTGGAACCTATGGTTTTTCCAAAATCATATAGTCAGGACAGAATCTAGATCTTTGAATCCCAGGATAGGGATTTTTTTAGTGTATTGTCTCCAAAATCAGCCTCAGCATTTTTGTAATCTGATACATGTAACCATTTAAACTAGTCATTTCACTACAGTTAAATTTCATATAAAAATGTGTGAATTTTACTCCCAGTTTATGTGTGAATATGTGATTAGATCAAAACCTCTCTTTTTATAAAATTCACAGCAGTCTTGGGAACTTTGATTCCTAATAAAAATGAGGTATAATCAAGTCCCTGGTATTGATATCAAAAGATGAGAGCAAAGACATCTTAGATAGTTTCTTGCTTGTGACCCTTCCTTGTTGAAAGAGACAAAGAACAGTTGGTGATTTAACTCCAAAAATACTAGAACTCTTTGAATTAGAAAGGGCTATTGTCATCAAATAAGAAGAACTCAAATATGAAGAAAAAAAAAGTGTTCTCATTTTCTCATCTAAACAGTGATAGAAAATAGGCAAATGATTATATTTTAGTTTAACAAACATTCCTTTGATTTTTATGACATGGTTTAGAAGTAGACCACAGAAGTGTTATATTTAGTGTTTCAGCCCTGTTTTAACAAGACTTGAATTTCTAAAATTCACCTGTTTTGCAATTGAAAGGGACTAATGAAGCATCATAGAAATATATAGTGCCAATTACACAAGTTTTATTACTGGATATGATGGTATTAAAAAATAATAATGTCTTTATGGTCTTTGTAACAATTCCATAGCAAATATATTTAAAATTACCTGTTATTTCCATCCAGAAGTTGCCATTTTCATTGAACTCATTTCAGTCATCTTCTCTGCAGATGTAAAGGTGGATGTATAAACAGACATGAAATGACAGAAGTAATGAAGTGAGGTGGTGCATGATATATGCATCTTACTTCCAAACACTGAGTGTCTGTTTTCTAAGAAGACATTCTATTTTGTTACCACAATATAGTTGTCAAGTGGTGATTTTTTGAAAGAGCTTTTCCCTTTTCTCCTGAACCCGCTGCACTTTTAGATTATTATTCTTAATTCATGGATTTTTTTTATACAGTATATTCTTTTTGATGCTCAGAGTGTTCCAAAATTTACCACAGGGTGGCTCCTGTACGCTGTTGATATGTCCCTGTCAGTTTTTAAGGACTTGCTTATTTTGGGGAGGCACAAAAACATGTCCCAGGCCCACTTTGTACTTTTCCTGCCCCAGACCTGGAATCAGCTATTTTTCTTAAGAAGTCTTAGTTCCTTTGAATGGGGAATGGTATTTGGAAACCAAGATCTGAGTACCAGGTATGCTCATTTATAACAGGATATCACTGCTTCAAGACCTTTTAATGAAAAAGGCTTGGCATTTTTCTTTAATCTGGGCTTATGTTAATACTTCCAATTCAAATATTATAACATACTGGGATTCTTCTGTATCTTCCCCTTTTTCATAGTTTGACATTTAGATATTGCCTGATTCCTTTTGTAGGGCTTGAACTATTTTGAATTCCCATTCAGCAACATATGAGAGTGCCTGTGTCCCCACAGCCTTACTAATAGGTAGGATGTTGTCAAGTTTTTGAATTTTTGCCAATCTGAAATGTAAGAAATTGCATCTCTAAGTAGTTGTGACTTGAATTTCTCCTGTTATGAATAAAGCTCAGCTTTTCTTTTTTCATGCTTAAGGAGTAAATGTATATCTTTGTGCATATACTGTCTTTTCAAGTCTTTAAAAAAATTTATGGTATTTGTTACCAATATTTTCTTTCAGTTCATTTGTCTTTGGCTTATGGTATATGTGTACTTATTAATGTTTAAAATTTGTGATGAATTCTTCACAGAAAAGGTTTTTTATGGATCCATTTTCTATTGCATCTGGGTTTTTGTAATAGTCAGAAAGCCTTTTTCCACACCCAGATTTTAAATACATTCACACATGTTTTCTTCTACTTCTACAATTAGGGCTCTTATCCACTGGGAGTTTTGCTGGTTTAAGATATGAGGTGTTTAAGGTATGGATTAAATTAAATCCAATTTAAATCTTTTTCCAAATAGCTATCCAGTTGCTTGGAGAGCCAGTTGGGCTTTCTGCTTTGTTCCTAGACTTTCTATTCTGTTCCACTGGTCAGTGTATCCAGTCAGGATATTTTGTGTAGAAGTACACTGTGTATGTCAGCATTCGGTAACACTGTACGGGTGCTTGGCTCAAGGAGGCTCTCTTAAACACTCCTTTTGTATGCTTAGGATTGTGCATAAACTTGCACAGAGTTGATTGTGAGCCATTCTCTTTTCTGGGGGTCCCCAGGGGATGGAACTGATCAAAAGGACTTAGCTTCCTGAATTTTTAGCAAATCCAAAACACTTCCATTTTTACAAGTTTTATTTTGTTGTAGTTCCTTCAGACCTATATTATCAAGTAATGCCTTAAATTTAACTTAAAAAACAAAATAAGCATGAAAAGCATTTAACATTGTATCTAGAACAAACAAAACACATTCACCATGTGATCATTGACTGTTCTTAGTAAATAATTATGTTTAATCCCTAATAAATGAGGAGGCAACAGTGAAGTAAGCTATTGGCAGCATCTGGAAGTGGCAAATACGGGATTGGCTGCTGTTGAACTTGGCAATTGTGAAAGTAAGATGATAAATGTCTGAGAGGCAGGCAGGATGCTGCCTTGAAACTGGACGAGGCAAGTGTCAGGAGATAAGATTACATGGAACAAGGGTGTCTAGAGAGAAAGGCCACTCCCCGTCCACTTCTTAAGGCTCTGAACCTTCTGGTGTTTTTTCCTGGTAACTGTGGAAACCCATCTTCATGGGAACCTGCAAAAAAACCTGTATTTCCTAGAATTAGATTAGAATGCTCATCACATACACAAAGCTACTTGAGCATGTGAAATAGGTGCATTCAGCTAGCTAGGTTTTTAAGTCATGCCAGGTAAAATTTTTTGTCTTTGTTACTGTTTGTGACTAGTAACTGCTGTATCTGCTCTGATATGGTAACTGCTGCTAATAACTGCTGATTCTTTTTTGCTGTGTGACTGCTGTCCTGCACAGCTACTGATTGTTTTCTCAGGGATTGAGACCCAACCTAAGCTCCCTTCTACCAGTCTTACCTGAGCACCCCAGCATGCAGGATGTCTCCATCTTCTGGGTACATGTAATTCCTATAAAATCAGCTCTATTTAATATTTGTCCTTTACTATCTTTCTTAAAAAAAGTGTTTTAAAAAAGTAAATAAAATCTCTTTTATAACCCTAGTATGAGAGACAAATTTTGTTAACATTTTGGTATATTTTCTTCCAGTGTTGTTTTTTTCTCCCAAGTATATGATTTTTGAGTCAAGATCATACTGTATCTATAGTATTACATCCTATTCTTTCCCTTCAACTTTATTGTAGACCATTTGTCAATAGTATTTTTAAATTTATATAATTTTCATGGAGTGGGTAGATTGTAATTTATTTGTATTTTCTTTTTCATACGTATGTTTCTCATTAGTCACCCTACTATATTACCCTCCTTCTCGACTCTGTTGCCTATAGGAAATATTGTATATATAGATAAATATTTTTGCTTGCTTCTCTGTTTTCAGTTTAGATATTATAGGAACTCTTTGCTATAAGAAACCCAAAAAATATTCCAGCTTACTCAGTCATTATATCATCTAAGTCTTTCCTCCTAGATTAAGGGTCCCTGGGGAAACATTCGCATGTATTTTGGAGGACCTGAATCCTCTGAAGTCCTCTGAGAAGTATTTTGAGTGAACATTTGTGAATTTTACTCTAGTTTTCATTAGAGTTTTCAAAGGAGTCCTTATCCAGCAGAAAGACACTGACCGAGAGGCTGTAGCCCATCTGGACATAGGTCTATTTATTAAACTTAGCTGAAATCTAAGTTATTAGTTTTCACCTGTATTTTTAATTGGTTTTCAGGAAGGGATGAAACCATGCAACCTGCAAGACCATCTTTCCTTGAATACTTTGAACAAAAAGAAAAGGAAAATCAGATCAACAGCTTTGGCCAGAGTGTACCTGGCCCACTGAAGAGCTCTTCTGATTGGAAAGTACCACAGGATGGAGACTATGAGTTTGTAAGTAGTATTAGAAGTAGCTGGTTATGTCTTGTGGGAAAAGTTATTCAAAATACCACACATCCAATTGTGTTGTTTCGCTGAAAGGGCCTGAGCAATTTCTTGTGCAGGTCCAGTTTGCCTCTGAGCGCAGCCCCTGGGCTGAGGGCCTCGTGCATTTGAGAAGATATTTTAACTGATGTTTGAGCATTTCTGGGGCTCCTCCTGATAGTGATTTTTCTCTCACTTAAAAATCCTTTCTTTACTTGCTATTTTTAATTTTGTCAAGGTTGAAATTATTAATGGCAAAAAGAAATATTCAGTCATCAAATGAAGATGCACTGTCATTAGTAGTTTATTTGGGATTGTGACTTTATATTTAAGACTGGAGGGCATTTAATGCTATTTTATAGTGTCTTTGTTCTTTTGCTAATCATCATCCTAATTTTAGGCTCTCAAAAAAATCCCCAAATTTTTTGAGGGGATTATTCTGAATTTTTCCCAAGGATAATAAATATTGAATTGTTCAAAAGTTTTGTATGAAAAACTGGGTGTGTTTTTCCTTTCTCTTTGTGGAATGTTCTCCCTCAACCACAGATACTTTTAATGTTCACAGAGATTTGATGAGTAGAGACAATAAAAATTTGGGGAAAAAAGCAAGCAGACTGTATTCCCTTTCCAAATAATTTTAGAGAAGATTTTTTTATTCTTAAATTTATAATTTATAATTTTTACATTCTTATTCAGTCATAATTCTGTTGTTGTCTATAAAAGAACTTAGCTTGAGTCTTGAGTTGGGATTCTGAGAGACCTTTCCAGTCCTGGCCTAGAAGAAATGATGTCATTCTTCCATAACATAATTTCTACTGTTGTGGAGCAGCAGGAATGTTATAATTATACAGCTAATGATGGAGATCTTTGGAGGACCAGAGTGACTCACCTGAGGTTATTGAACTGATTAGTCACTGGACCTATGTTAGAAACCAGCTTCATGTGTTTTGTCATCTCTCCGTTCACTCATTTACTTATTCAGTGTTTGAGTGCCAGTATGTGTTTGATACTTTTCTGGGGATATGGTACAATGAACAGATTAATGCGAAGTCCTGTATTTACTTGCTATAAACCTTATGGATGTTTCATTCTAGAAGGGGGGAAATAAGGAAGTAAAATATTTAGTGTGTCAAATAGTGGTAGTGTTGTAGAAAATATAAAGCAGGGGAGGCAGATTGGCAGGGGAGGGGAAGAAGTAGAGAGAGAGAGAGACTGTGTGTGTATGATTGTGTAGTAATTCTAAATAATAAGTTAAGGAAGGTGGCACAGCAGGGATTTGAATCAAAGCAGTTTGGGTGTAGAGTGCATCCTCTTAACCACCTACACTGTATGGCCTCTCTCTGATCTATTCTGGTAAATTCTGTTCATAAAGTGCATATAAAAAGTGCCATAGAAGCCTCAAAGAGGGAGCAAGACTCTCAGCAGGAACCCTAGGGAAGGCTTTAAGAAGTGTCATTTGAAGTGTATTTTACAAGATGAATAAGAACTGCCCAGCTAGAGGAGGGAGAGGGCATTCTAGGCAGACAGAGGGAGGTGCGTCTGGAGGCACTGAGGGCTGTGGCGTGGCCAGGAAGTACTGAAGAATCGTATTTGGAGCATAGAAGGTGTGGGGGTGTGCAGAAGGGATTAGTGGGACTGAGGTGAGCCCTTCAGGAGAAGTAAATTAATGCCCAGCATGCCCTTACTTTTTCTGGAAATATTTACTGCTCTTTTAGATTTTTCCTTGGTGTATCAGAGGAAATAAAAATAGATTCCTAATGCAGCACAAAGAGCTAAGCTAATATCCCTCTGAAGTTGTGTGATAATGGGTCCACCAGGATATGAAACCATTGAACTGTTCATTCAGAATTAATTTGATAAAAGTAACAGAACCTGAACGAGATTGATTGTTTGGATTCCCTGGGGAGTTATAAGCCACTCAGAGGGCTTTCTGTGGTAGGAAGGATAAACATTAGCCCTGAGTTTGCCCCAGGAGGAGGACAGTTTCACCTCTGAGTTCATAAAACTTTATCCTAACCATTCCTTCCTAGATCAGGGCTCCAAGTATGATTGTTAAGTAGAGATTTCTTTGGGTTTTAGAAAAGAAGCTTTACTGAATTTGTTGGGAGATAGTCAATTACTCATTTTTTATTAGGTTGCACTTTCTGCTTTTGGCTATATACTTTAGAAATGAGAAATTTGGTAGGAAGTGATAATTATTACTACCTTATTTATAATCTAATAGATACAGTAGCAAAGATGCTTTATTTACTCTTGGTTAAATTAATGCTCTCAAGGATGCATCTTGATGTTTTCTGGCACCCAGGTAGACTACAACTTGAAACTTTATCTGCTATTTTATATAAACAAAAAAAAACACACTCCTAAAACATTCTGTCTTTAAATTTATTGTCCATTTGTTTCAAAATTTGTTAAAGATCAGTGCATATCCTTAAATATCCCAGCCTCCTCCATTGGTAAGATAGAATCTAATGAAGCTCCCTTCACTGAGTCATAACCATCAACAACTCATGACTATACTTGTTTTATTTAATCCTCTACTTCCACTATTCCCCATCCCCGTTGATTATTCTGAAATAAATTCTAGGCATATTTCATTTCTAAATATTTCCACATCTATCTATAAAAGATTAAAAGATCCCCTTAAAAACATAACTACAATACCTTTATCATGTGTTTAAAAATTAAGAATAATAACTCTTTAATGCTATAAAATAATGTTATCCATTTGCAGTTTTCCCCAGTCATCTCATGCTTTTTTTTCACAGTTTTTTTGAATTAGGGTCCAAATGAGAGTCATACATTACAGTTGGCTGATATGTCTCTTAAATCACTTTTAATTTATATAGGTACCCCCTTTACCTGCCCTACACACTCACCAACTTGTTGATATTACTGAAGAAACCAGTTGTTGCCTAAATTCTGGATATTGCTGATTACATCTAAATGGTGCTGTTTATATGTTCCTTGAATTTCCTGTAAACTGGTAGTTTGATCTCAGGCCCTTCATACTTTTAAACATTATTGAGGACCACAAAGAGCTTTTATTTACGTGGGTTGTATCTGTTGATATTTACTGAATTAGAAATAAAAATTGAGAAATTTTTCAAAATTTCTTAGTTCATTTAAAAATAACAATAAGCCTGTTACACATTAATATAAAATAACTTTTTTTAAATGGAAAATAACCGTATTTCCCCAAATGAAATGAGTGGAAAGAATGGCATTGCTTAATTTTTTCAAATCTGTATGGCTTAATAGAAGACAGTTAGATTTCATATCTGCTTTGCATCCAGTCTATCATAATATTGTTTCGGTTGAAGTATATGAAGGAAGTCTTGCCTAAGATAATGTAGTTAGAAAAGGAGAAGTATTTTAATAGCCTTTTCAGATAATTATGGATGTTCTTTTACACTACGCTGACACTCAGTAGCTGGTGTTTTCCTAAAGGTTAATTGCAATGTGGAATCTGAAACTATCAGTGAATTTTGCCTACTCTGAATATTCAGATTCATTGGTCATTCTTGCCTTTTGAATGGAACTTTTACTCACATATGATTTTATAACACCATTATATTGGTTATTTGGAAAACACTGGTTCACTGAGTTACACAGATCTTCCAAATGTTAGCATATTTCACTGTACAATACTAAGAAAAATCACATTTCTTGAAATTACCACCAGTCTCCTCAGAAAATTGTATAAGTATAGTGACACTATCAAGCTCACAGTGGTGGAATCAAGTTTTCCAAAATTCTGATTTTTGTTTGAAAGTTTGAATTTTATCATTGGCAGCAAACATCTTCAGTTGTTTCCTTGAATTGACAAGCCTCACTTTGTTCGGTTGGCAGAGGATGTCTGTCAAGTGCCCAAGTCTGAATTACCACAGTTTGTCAATTAACCTGAAAAGAGCCTTTTTTTCTTTAGCTTTATTGAGAATTCTTGACTCATGACATATGTAAGTTTTAGGCATACAACATGATGATTTCTTACATGTATATATTGCAAAATGATCACCACAACAAGGTTAGGTAACACCTCCCTCCCCTCACATAACTACCTTTATGTGTGTGGTGATAACTTTTAAAACCTACTCTCGTAACACCTTTAAAGTATATAATACAGTGTTGTTAATTATAGTCACCCTGTTGTACATTAGATCCCCAGAACTTTTTTTATCTATGACTGGAAGTTTGTGCCCTTTGACCAACATCTTCCCATTTTCCCTCCCCACACCCAAGCTTCTGGCCATGGCCATTCTACTCTTTTTTTTTTTGAGTTTGTGAAAAACAGCCTTTTTTTTTTTGAAGGATCTCTGCTTACTTTTAGTGGGCAATGGTATTTAGATACTATAGTCTGGGTACAAGGTGTGCTCACTGTGATTGGATAATTTTTTCTAGGTCTTTTCAATGGGCAAAACCAGGAGGTATGTTTATCACAAACTTATGAGTTCTTATGCTATCTCCAGGACTGATTGAATACCACGAGTTTATACTTAACCACATTGATCCTGCATCTGTGACTCCTTCTTTCATGCCAATGTCTCACTTCCCAGCAGCACCAATGAAATAATTCATTTGCTTTATGTCCCACAGTAAATATATCATCCTCGGAATCACAATACAACACTTCCATCTACAATAATTACTGAAAACAATTTAAGATTTGTATTGTAGTTCTCTTTGTCCAATTAGGCAATATTCTAGTTTAGATGTACATATTCTGTATGTTAAAGTCACTTGGAATAATTTCTGCCTATGTGGTTATGCCAGAAACTCAATATGCAGATTTTTTTCTTTCAGTTCTTTCTGTTTTATTTATTGCTTTTTATTGATTCACATTATAATTAAACTATATGGTTACAAAGGCAAATCTACAAAACAAAATTATTCAAATTTAGTTTCTATCCCTATGTCCTCTATTCGGTTTCTTCCCTCCATTACTGTTATGTTTTGGTTATATATATGTA